AATTATTATTTTATAGTATAAATTAAATGTAAATAAATTTAAAAATACAATAATGTATATAACGTTTAAAAGTTGATTGAATAAATTATATTTATATTATATTTTAATGATTAAACTAAATAAGTATTAAAAAAATGTGTTAAGTTGAAAAATATATTAATTTTTTTAAGTTTTATGATATAATAAGTACTGTAGAATTCATCAACATACCCTGAGGCACCTTCACTTCTTGTTAAGGTGGTTATTAGAGGAAATTTAATTTTAAAAGTGTCAAGTAAAGTTGCAATCTTAACAAATGAAGATTACAGTATGGCACTTGTGACTATTTCACTAATGGCAACTGTCAGATATCAAGCTGTTGTTAGTCCCCCTGGAGGTGTTTGGCAAGGTGATCGTTCCTTACCACTCCAGAATTAAAGTGACAATGATAACACCAAATACACTGCATCCAGCAACACAAATGCAAAGAAGTTGAATGCAATTGGGAAAACTGTAATGCCAAAATGTACTTGGCTGGTGTTCAGCATCCTCAACACTGCAGCATTTATTTCCTCGCTACAAGTAGCTCGATCATTGTTATTTTTGCATACCAAGCAAGCTTCGACTTGAATGGTTTATATCTTGCTATTACGAGACTGCATTATATGTGATTGGATCACATGGTAAACTATCCACTGTTCCCATTGTTCAATGCTCTTAATACTTCCTTCTTGGGGACATCTACCATAACTTGCTGAAGTTTTTTTGAGAGGGAAATTTCAGATGATCGAAAAAACACTCAAAGCCGCGGGTAGAAAATGCAAAAGATTAGGGGCTACTTAAATCTCTGCCATCTATTGGCATAAAAATACTCTCACGCATCTGTTGTCTCTTGATAAATATATTTTATTGTTTTCTGGGCCTCCAACAAATTATTATGTTTGTTCAGGTTTATTTATTTATTGTTTTTTTTTTTTTTTTAACATTCTACTCGGACAGTTTGGGGCTCAAAGAAGAAGTCAAAATGTTTATTTAAGAATTGAACCTCAAGAGCAAGGCTATGAGAAATTGTTTTTATAGATAAAAATTACTTTCATAGTACAAAATTTAAAGTTTGTACAACTCACCCAAAGAGAATTTAATAGTGAAAAAAAAAATCATTTGTCTATATCTGTTTCAATTAAATGCATTACTCCTGATTTTACTAATAGGTAATAATATAATAATAAAAAACAAAAGATTTCATTTATAGGAAAACCAACGTAATCTAATAGATTTTGTCTCTTAATCTTCGGTGTTTAAATTTAGTTGATTAAAAATTTAACTTTTGACTCTCATCAAGGATTTGAAAAAAGGTTCTCCATTTTCTAAAATTTTCCCATGTTTAAAAAAAAAAAAATCCATTTATGCAGTTCTTAGGAGTGTTAATTATATTATATATTAGATCTCAAGGTGAGCTTCGCGTGCTTCATCTGTATTAGATTTAGATTTGGTTAGATTTGGTTGCGTGCTTA